GGCAGGACACTCCCTCCCACATAGCCTTGTTGCTCCTGGCATTCAAGATCTTGTTCCAGGGACAGATCTTGGCAGCTGTACTTTCATAGATCAAAGTCCATGATGGCTGCTGCCTTTCCCCTGTTCTCCTTGGCTGGTGAGAGAAGGCAGCATAGTTCTAGGGAAGAAGTGCTTCAAAATAAGGCTGGGTGCAGCAGAGTCTGAGGGGTGGGTGGTACCCTCTTCCCCTTAACATTCAACCCAGGAGGGATTGCTGACCTACCCTGTTTGGGTTCTGACATCACCAGGGCAAGCAGGGAAGGCCTTTCTTGTAACTATTCTGGGGTTTTACACCTCTCTCCCAGCCCTGCAGGTCAGGGAAGCAAACAAGAATGCACCCAATTATTGGACCTCAGCAGTTCTCACCCAGTAGACACTGAATCAGAGACTAGGCCAGCTGAGCCTCCTGTTGGCCAGAGGTTGTAAGCAGCAGGACCCAGCTGTGAGCTTCTGATTGGACTTCATCTCGGCTCCTATCCTGGGCTGGACTCTACCATTCTGGACATTTGGTGGTCACTGGGAAGGACACTGATCGGCAGGGAACTCAATTTTTCTGGTGATATTTGAATAACAAAGCCAGCAGTAGCCAAGGCTGGGCACAACGGGCTCCTCCCTTCTGTTCTTCATCTCTCTCGGCCTGCCCCCTCTACTTTTTGTAATATAGGAAGCCCCATCCTATACCTGCACTGCATCTGACCCCCAGCCAAAGAACAAAAGTCCAAAGGACAGTACAATCTCCCTAAGATCCCTTCTGGATCCAAACACAGAAATTAGTACACGATTTCATCCATCCAAACAACTCTCCCCTGATGTCTGCATCATCAGGGCCCTGAGTCTAACCCAAGCTATAATGGCAGCCACAGTGCTGGCCACCGGGGCCCACTGGTCCTGCATACAAAACACCCGGCTGGCCATTATCATTCCGGGGCGGAACTCCGCTTGGCCTGTGTCTCATCGGTCACTCAGCAGCCCTTAATGACCTGTCAGTTCTTTGGCCTGCCATTTTCTGTCTAATTAATTCTTTTATTGTGCACCGGATAAAGAAAGACAAAGGCCTTGCCGGCAATAATGATTCATTAAAATGCAGTGCCTTCCCAGCTCTTGGCCCAGCACCAGCCGCTCCACCCGCTGTGGGCATGGTTGCCTGCGCCCCTTAACCCTTTACAGGGTCCTCTGGGCTAGACATCCCAGAAAATCTAGATGTTAGCTAGTTCAAGAACCTGGTGTAGGAGGGTCTCTTGAAAGATGAACACTTACTTCCTCAGGACTGGTGTAGGGGCCCAGACATACATTTGGAAACCCAGCCCCTTTTGGGCAACAGAAGGGCCTGAGGGGCCCTTGTCCAGGGACACCTGAAACTGGACATGTGCACTCAAGACTTGGTCAAGACAGGAATGAAGGTGCTACTCATAGAAGGCAGCCAGTGAGCCATAGCACTTCAGGATGGCTAGTTTATCCTCAGGCAGTTTTGGTGAGGCTGTCAATATTCCATGGGTGTGGAGAAAACTGAGGCATGGGAGGAAAACTGGTAAATGGCAGCTTTTCTAACCACTGTTCCATCCTGCCTCCCCACAGTTCATATGTCTGGATGCTGTGGGAGAGAGACAGGCCCTTGGGTGGACAGGCTTCATTCAGTCCTGGCAACAGGTAAAGGGGAAGAAACAAGGCTATGGCTACCTTAAGTGCCAAGCAGCCTTACTAGGTTATGGAGGTCATCTTATTGACAGACAACATGCTGCCCTGTCCAACCTTCCTCCCTCAAGACAATTCTTTGCCTGGGTGCCAGACAGGGGTAGTTTATCTCCTTGTCTTGGGGATCACACTGACCAGGGTATAGTGCAGTGGGAGACTGGAGATAACTCACAGCCTATAGATGAGAGTCCAGTGCCTGGCAACAGGGACAGCACCACCCAGAACACACCTCCTGAGCCCAATGGCATTAGCAGCAACCCCAGCAAACACAGGTTAGGCAGAGGTGGGATGGACAGAGAGGCTCAGTCCTTGGAAGGGCCGGAGTCCCTCAGCATGAGGTCAGACACTAGGAAGGGAAGACGGGGATGTGGACTCCACGTGACTACCTGGAAGAATCCAGAAAGATAGGCAGTGCCTGAAGGACACAAATCCTCTGTTATCAGGAGCTGATAGCTGGGATGGACATGAGCTTGACAAACAGGCACCAGCTCCCAAGAGTTGACACTACCCTAAGACCAGCGGGGGATGGAGGGTTTTTTTTTTTTTTTTTTTTTTTTTTTTTTTTCCAGTCTCCCAGATACTACGGCTGATAGGACCATCGTCCGCTTTCTGGAATAGGGCATTCCCTTCCACTGAGGTCAGAGCCAACATTGCTTTGGGTGAGGAAATGAAAATGAGGAATTTTCTGCCAGTCTGCCCCTGGGATGGGCTAACAGAATGGGTACTCTCTGAGAGAACAGTACTGCAAAGTTTGGACTCAGGGCAAAGCTGACCAGGGAAATACTTTTAGATTGAACCTATGCCGGATGTCAGACCATTGCTTCCTATGGACCAGTGCAACAGTACTCTTCTCTCCCTAACCTGTCCATGACAGCCACAGCCTCAGTGCAGCGCTGGAAGCCTCCAGGACACACAGCTTTGGGTTCTGCCTCTGAGGACTGAGTGTACCAATGGGAAGCCACCTGCTGGGCTAGCCCCAAGAGCTGAGATGGAAGCAGGCAGGCAGGTTCAAAGTACAGGGCATCTACAAGGTGGGGGTGGACTAGCCAGGACACTGGTGCCCCTCTTCCAGATGCTCAGAAATGAGGAGCCTCTCAGGAGGCAACACCCAGAATCAGGACTTCTTGGCAAGATAGACGGCCCGGACCCCAGTAGTTAATACTCAGAAGGCTCGCCAAGTCCCAACAGAACTGGCAGGGCCACCCCGCCCTTGGGAACCTGGCAAGCCCCAAAGCTAATCCCAACCCACAGCAGGGCCTCACAGCTTTGTCAGCGAGCCGGGCGCCTGGGGTTCTCCTTGGTCTGGGGTGTCAATGAGAGAGCTCTAAGGGCCATATGGGTTCAGACAACCCTTGGCTGGATGCTGGTCTGGCAGGGCTGGGTCCACATGGGCAGCAGGCTGTGAAGGCATCGGCCATCCGTTAAACTGGTTCTCACAGCACCGTTCCCCACACCTGGAAGCTTGGCATACTCAGGCCTCATGAACTCTTATAAATTCAGGTGACTTTCCCCAAATGCTGGTCTTGGCAGGCCCTAGAGTCAGGCTTTTCAAACTGGGGGAAGTAGTAAAAAGTCCTCCACATTGGGGTTCTTGAGAGGCATAGCTCCCTTCCACCCCCAGTCCAAGGCTGAAGTCTACATAGCTGGTATGCAGCCGGCCCTGGCAGTGCCTGCTAGCCACATGTACCCAAGAGGCTTGGCAAGGGCCCTTTGCTGTCTCTCCTCACAATCATTTTCTCCCTAGAAACTTCCCTCTGAGCAGACAGTTCTGCCAGGCTCTCTTGGGATGGTTTTTCTCTGCTCCCAGCCTGGCTCTGAGCCAGGACCACCCCACCCCGAAAAAAATGCCCATCAGTTTGAGACAAGCTACCCAGCCACCCAGATACCCAGATACCAGCCTTGATTAGCCTGGGAGGAAAACATGGCTTGGAGTAGCCCAACTGGACCTGTGTTTGTCTGCTTGGGAACAACTCCTAAAGTGAGGAAGCCAGACAACGCTAAAGGCATGGTGTTTAAATTCAGATCAAGTGGCTGGGAGGGGGGTGTCTGGCCACCTCTCTAAGATGAGGTGAAGCCCTGCCTTGGGGAGTCTGAGTGGTTCTGCACCCCCTCACGGTGGCTGCTCAGGGCAGCTAAAACCAAACCCCTAGCAGAGTGTCTCCTCCCTCCTAGGAACACTCATGAAAGAACCCCCCCCCCAGGCTTGAGAGAAGTAATACACAAAACATGCTCCAAGTAGATAAAAAGCATTTTTAAAATTTTATCAAATTGATCTGTACAAAAGTTAGCATTGCTTGGTCAGAAAGTAGCGAAACACAGCAGGCGAAGGACAGCGAATGTCTTTCTGAATTCAATGCCAAAAAAAAAAAAAAATAGATTGCATAAAAATGAGTTTGCTGTAGTTCCCACCCCCACCCCCAGAAGGAGATATGCTAAATGAAACAAAACAAAACAAAACATTTTTTCCTCTTTAAAAAAGGTAGGAAGAGTAGAAAAATTAAAACGAAGCAAACTTCTCAAATGTGATTAAATGTACAAAGTCTCAAAGGCACAAGTTTCTGTGAAGTAGCCGGTTATACACTTAGCACACAGGGAAGCGGGCAGTGAAGCAGGTGTTATTTTCTAATTAGGAACCTAGGCAGGTTAGTGGAGGAGGCTTTCCGTTCACAGCTTGGTAAGTAGTGCCTGGTGCCAAAGAGCCAAGATTATCCGTGGTTCTGCAGCTGCCAACTTGCTTCTACTGCTTGGCACCACTGAGGGCAGAGCTAACATCCCTGTCTTCCAGTACCTGATCTGATGCTGGTGCTGGGCATTTTGTTCTAACCAGACCCCAAGAGATATATCATTTCCTCCCGGGCATCTGAAGGCCGAGTAAAGAGATGCCATGGGGCGCTGGACCACTTCCCTCCTGCCCTCTACAAAACAAGCTTCCCCGCTTTCATTCTGTCTTAAATTCTACTCTCTGCACAAATTACTTCATTAATTAAAGATAAAATAATACAGAACATAAATACATCTTCAACAGCTTTCAAAACAGACATGTTTAAGCCTTAAAATAAAAATTACAAAACATAAAAATAAAAACAAGAAATGTTTGTCTCAGCCAAACCTTGCTGGGAAGAACTGTGATAATGAGAAACCCCTCCATCACACATCAGCCCCAAGAGATGCCCAAGTCGATGTATCCCGGGCGTCCACAGATGTGCTTTCACCATGGGAACAACTTCCCTTGATCCCAGGGAGTTCTTGGCTGGGCTGGTAAGGAGCTCTCCTTTGTCCTTAGCTGTAGCTATCTTCTCTTCTACTGAGATGCAAACCCAGGAGCTGGTACCCACTCATCCAAACCGGAGAGAGACAGAATGGCTGTTTTGGAAATGACCAGTTACCTCAGAGACAGAAGAGGAGGAAGAGAGAGCTCTGTCCCCTGGCAGAAGTTTGGATATCCAGAGGCAAAGGGACACAGGGTGACAAAGCCTGGCTTCCTGCAGATTCAGCAGGCACTTGACGGAGCGAGGCTGTGCTGGCTGCCTCCACCCTCTACCGAGTACGCTTCTGGAAGACCTCAAAGACCTGGCTATACTTCATGGACACTGAGTCCTCCAGGATGCAGCAGCCTCATGGTCGGGTCAGGGTAGTGTACACAGGCTGGTCCCAGTTGCTGCTGGGGCTGTGTGCAGGTGGCATGGAAAGCCCATTGAGCAGTGGTGAGGCATAGGGCCGGCGGGATGAGTGGAAGTAAGGGTATTGGTAGAGGCTGGGTGGGTAGCCAGGGTAGGGGCTGTAGTAGTTGGAAGACTGCAGGTCAGTGTAGTCACACTGTGCACTGGCAAAGGAGCTGGCAGCCGTGGCAGAGGCAGCCGTGGTGACACTGGCTTGGGCACTGTAGGAGCCATAGTCAGCACGGCCAGGTGAGCCATGTGACTGGTCATTGTAGTGGGTGGGACTCAGTTGCTCCGTCTTGATATGTGGCCGAAGGGGTCCTGCCTCTGTGGGCGAGGCTGAGGCCGAGGGAGCTCCCTTGTGGGCCCACACAGGGGATGCTCCTATGCCAGTTGCCCCGGAATGGGAATAGGAGGTTCCCCCATAGGAGCCAGAGGCAGTGGCCTGGCTGGGCTCTGTGGGTAGGGTTGAGTGGCCATTGAGGGGCAAGTACTGGTCAAACTCGTGGACATCAAAGGTATCCATGTTACTGATAACCTCACTGCTGAGCTCGGAGATGTCCACATTGCTGAAGTCAATGTTCTGGCGCCCGCTGTCCACCAGACGGCGCCCTTCCAGCCTTAGCTCTTGCTTGCCTCCACTGCTGGCCTGATGCAGGTCTGTCTTGGGGGTGGTGGGTGGGGTGGGCGGCCCATGGGTCTGGCCTGAGGAAGAGAGTATATTTCAAGGATGAATGCTCCTTCTGTGGGACCAGGGTGGAGCTGGTGGGTGACACCAGGAACCCTGGTAACTGCCACAGGTACGAATCAACAGCTTTTTGTTTCCTTACCTTCCCAGAAATTCCTGCAAACTCAGACCTAGCCCTCACTTACTGGCTGAGAAAATTCCGTTAAGCACTGTGCTGTGGGAAGACCCAAGGCCCCTCCCTGAAGACCTGGGTGGGGGATGGAAAGTGGCCAGCCAGCCCCACCAGAACTAGCATTAATGGGGCACTCTTGGAATGCCTGGCCCTGGGCACAGGACCAAGCTGAACCCACACAACCCTGTTCTTCCTCCATCACAGCCCAGTAAAGGGAAGCTTGCAGCCTGCCTCCAGCTTCACTGAGTCTGCTTGGCTGCTGGGACCCCACCCACTAACTAGCCTGATTCTGAAGCTGGGGCTGTTGTTCCATGCTACAGTCATTGAAGAGTGGAGGAAGATTGTGAGTGAGTGATACACATCTTCAGTGTGCTGGATGGGGCTATGCAGCCCCCTCCTTTTGTAGCATCAGAAAAAGCTTTATATCCAGAGGCTTTTTCAGGGAGCCAGAGAAGGTCTTGCCCTCTGCACATTGCCAACCCTGGAGGGAAGACCTTCCCACACCCCAGGTCAGTCCTAATACTGCCTACCCCAAGCTAAGGGTCCTAGAACCTACCTGTGTGGTCGCTGTGGTGGTGTGTGTCATTGAGGACTGCATCAGCTTTGTACATGGGACCACCAGGGTGGTGGCCCAGTTCCGTGCCAGAGTCCGAGTCACTCCGGCCAGCCTTAACACTCTTTCTTCGTCGTGGCTGGTATTTGTAATCTGGGTGGTCTTTCTTGTGTTGGACACGGAGCCTCTCAGCCTCCTCCACGAAAGGGCGCTTCTCACTTTCACTCAGCAAGCTGCAAAGAACACAGCAGGGCAAGGATGTCCACAGAGCTCTGGGGCTGCCAAAGGCCCAGGCAACACCAGCACATATACTGTTGTGGAGCTGACCTGGTGTCAGGCAGCATGGGCACAGGATAGGGTGCAGGAGAGGCCAGGACACCCTCTAGTAGGTAGTCTGTCCTCATACTAAGAATCCAGTGGGGAGGAGCCCACTAGGCCTGTGTGATGAGGACTGTATGTTCTTTATAGTCCAAGGAACAAGCAAGACCCCAATTCTCCATAGTCCCTAAGTTTCCCCTTTGCAACCCTATTTGTTCATCCATCCCACCCCGCTCTCAGCCATTCTCTAGGACAACAGGACCCAGTGAAAACTACACTTTGACAAAGGTAAGGCTTCCTGGGAGGCAGCTGTGACTCAAGGCAGCTAGCTGGGTCTGCTATGCTTTTAGTCTCAAGCTTCCAGCAGTGAAGACAAACTCCAGGGCACTGTTCACCACCCCGCCCCTTCCCCCCAAGTCCCCCATGCACACACACCGGAGAATCTCTTGCGCCTCTGCCTGTGGGGCAAAGCTGAGAGAGGGCAAGACAATGTTGCCGTCCTGCTCAGTCCGATGTTACTAATGTGCACTGCTTCAAATTCAAGTAGAAGCCACTTTGGGGGTTTGTAAGTGCTGTGCTGGGCAACTTCTGTGCTGCCTTCTTCTTCAATATTGCCTGCCTTTCTCATGACAAAGTGCCCACCCAGCCTCTCTGGCTTTTCAACTACTCTCTCCTTCCTCCATTCCAGATTGGTGAGGCCTCGGAGAAGTACCTGGGGACAGTACCAGCCAGCAGACTTGGACTCCTCATGGCTATCCGGAGTCCCAGCTTTTGCCCAGGACAAAGCAGCTTGATGCCTGCCCCCGTGAGCCAATCAAAGTTGGGATGCCTGTTCTGTGGTGCTCAGCAGGATACCCCAGGAGGGGAGAAAGTGATAGGGGTCACACTCCAGACACCGGCCTCGGTCCATCTCCAAGGTCCCACACCTGGTGTCATGTCTCTGTTAACCATGATGTTTTTTCCACCAGACCCACCCTGGAACCAGCCAAGGAGCACAGCCCAAGTTTGGCCACGATGCCACGGCCTTGAACCCTTACATTCCATTCCTCACCCGTAGTGTCAAGAAGCCCACACTCACCGCCACAGCTTGCCCAGGGTCTTGCTGAGCTCTGCGTTGTGGAGATGCGGGTACTGGTCCGCCAGCTTGCGGCGCGCCGCCTGCGCCCACACCATGAAGGCATTCATGGGCCGCTTCACGTGTGGCTTGGCCTTGAGCGTGCCGCCACCGCCACCGCGCACCGGCATAGGCACCAGACTCCAGTCATAGCCCTTAAGCACCTGTGACACGGCATCACGGATGCAGGCTGGGAAGCGTTCGTCTGCCGCCTCAGCAGTGTCCCCTCGGCCACCGCCCCCCGCGCGGCCCAGGCCCTCTGATCCCTCGGGCGACGGCGGCGCGTCGGAATCTGAATCCTCCACGTGTGACATGGAGCTAGCGGTGCCTGAGGGGCTGCAGGGCGGCTGGGCGCGGGCCTCACTCATGTCCAGCATCAGGGCCACACTCGGAGAAGTGCTCAGTGGGGATGGACCCAGAGGTCGCACCCGGTCACGCTGTGGACAGACGCTCTGGAATCCAAGGTTGCCACGCAGGACCCAATCTTTGTCCCCGCCGTAAGCGCCCAGCTGCCGCTCCTCCGCCGCTACAGCTCAGTTCTGGGACCCGCAACAAGTTTCTTTAAGCGGTGGCCGAAGCCCCGCCCCTCCCGGCCCGGGTTGGTGGGCGCGCCCTCACTGAGGCGGAGCTTTGGCGCCCCGCCCCTAATCCAAGGAAGCGGACCCCGCCCCGCCCACCTCACCGCGTGGGCAGGGCGCCCAGCAGCTTGATCCCTCGACTGAGGCTGGGTCAGAGGGCTAAGGGTAACTGACTGCCCAGCGCCGGGTTCTCTGCAGCGTGGCTCGACTTTTGGGCGGCTGGCGAGGATGCTAATCCACAGGGTTCCTGAGCTCATCATCCCTCCCTCCACTGTGAGGCTCGAATCCGCTATTTCAAACTGGGTTCTGCCCGCAGGGTGGCGCAATGATAGGAGCCAACAGGTGACCCTGGTAACTCGCGCACTTAGGTGAGCTGGAGGACCCCGGAGCCGGGCAGAGGTGGGAGGACGGGGGCTCTGGACGGGGCTGTGCAGGCTGTGGCTGCTGAGTCCCTAGGGCTGTCGACGGGTGGCCCGGCCGGACGCGGGGGCCCGGGTCCTTCCGGGTATGACCTGCGGCGGGGGCGCAGGGGCCCTGGCGGGCGGGCCTGGGTGGTCTGGCGGAGGCGGAGGCCATGCTGGGCCACTTCGCCTTAGTGCCTGGAGAGAAGGAGGAGAGCGCTCAGGGTTGGAGAGGTGACGTTTCTCCTGAGAGCAACATGAGGCCACTCCGAGCCGCGCCCGAGGTCGCCCCTACTCCACCCTGCGAGTTGGCTCCTGGCCCGGAGGTCCCCAAGGGCAGCTAGGATTCTCTGGCCAAATTCAATGGAGGCGACGTACCTGCCACCCTATGGCTCTCGAAAGCCAGGTGACCCTAAACGAGGCCGCCTGTTTTCCAAACCAGCGGATATGGCAGCAGGGAAAAACCGTGGCCCCTCTGAGTCACCCTCAGGGGCTCCTTTTCCGGAAAAGACCATTAGGAAGTCTGTGGGCCTGAGGTTGAGGGGTTCTCACTGCGATTAGCGCAGGACAGGCCTCCCATCCCCTCCTCCAGCCAAGGTATGAATGGTGCTCTAACCTTCCAGTCTGGGATCCCAGTCGCAGGTTTTACCTACAGCCTCACTTCTGGAAAGGTCCAGTGCTATGCAATTGTGACCTTGGGACATATATAGTTCCTGCATGGAAGAAGGAGGTCCAAGTCCCCTGCTACCTGCTGAGGGGACCACTAAAGAAGAGAAGCTACCTTAGTTGAGACCATATTCTAGTGCCCTCTGCCCTTGTGTGTGTGTGTGTGTGTGTGTGTGTGTGTGAGAGAGAGAGAGAGAGAGAGAGAGAGAGAGAGAGAGAGGAGAGTTGGCTGCCATTGCTTGCTAAACTCTACCCTTATTTTGACTGTTACCTGCCCCCCCCAAAAAAGACCCTTATACAACTGCAGTGGCTGTCCTTTCCATTGGTAATACCTCCATTCTGGGTTCCACCTCTTGAGAAAGAAGTGTCTTGGAGGGATAAAGACTTTGACTGTCTGGTGCATTGTCATAGTACCATTCATACCAGCAAAAGAAGTCTAAGAGGCCTAGCTGATGATAGAAACTAGGACCAAACCATGTTCCTCTCAGGGCCTGAACCCTAAGGTCTCAGGTCCCAACCCTCTGTGCTTCCATGAACCCATACCATTGGGTCTCAACTTTGCTAAGAAAGCACAAAACGGAGTTCTCATTGGGTACAGTGGAACTTGTTCCTGGCCCCCACCCATGGGGCCATAATATACTCATTTTCCAGATCCTCGGGCTGCTAGGAACCTTGGAAGAAAGGAGGGGGGAGCTCACCCTGGCCCCGCCTACAGTTTGAGCCTTCCTATCACTGAGGTCTGTAGTGACTCTCTGAGCCTCAGAGGACTAGTGGCCAGTCCCTGACACAGCCCTATTCAGTACATTGGCACACAAGTGGTACAATGAGCTTTTCTAGGCTCTGTGTTCAGAATTGAGCCCAGTACAAGTCATAGACATACAGAAGGTGCTCCAGGTGACCCATGCCAGTCATCTGGAAAGGCAGTACATTCTCTGGGCCTTTATACTCTTTTCAAGCTCAGCCACTAGACAGACCCTGAACAGACGTGAAGCTGTGGCTTCTGGGAAGAAAGATATTCAGGGTGAGTTCATGTGCTCACTGGGACTGATTAGAACCAGTCAGGACCCTGCTTCATAGTCCCTGACCTGGAGATCCTAGTGTTGAGGGCAGGGAGGCAACAAGTCCTCCCATGAGATGCACTCTGCATGGAAGAAGACTTTCAGAAGGGTGGTCCCAGAAATCTCGAGGATGTGATGGTTTAGCTGAGTTGTGAGGTTTGCTGCTTCTATGAAAGGAGAAAAGAGTAGTAGTCCCCATGGGTGGCATCATGTGCAAAGGCCCTGCAGCCCCAAAGAGCACAGGGCATTTAATAATACAAGGATCTACAGTTCTTTAAAACTTGAATGGAAACTATAGGGACCACCTTCTCCATTTACCTTGTGTGCCACTGGACCTTGTCCAGGTGTGGACCAGTTCTTCCTCCTCTTAGCTTTTCTTCCAGCTCCCATCCTCCTCCTTGTCTGGTCCTAGTTTTACTTCAGTCTGCATGACCTTGCCCTGGCCTGGAACTTCCCCATTTTCATGTGGGGTTTGCAGTTTTAGAAATGAGGCTCTCATTGGCTAAACTTGGTCCAGGTACCCATTCCTAAGTGAATATAGAGCCTGGGGAAGGGTGATGGAATAGGTCTGTAAACCTCAGGTTGGCTTGTGTGTCCTCAGCTCTGGTCTGGTTTTTTCTCTGCCCCTTCATCTGGAGCTATTATATGTCAGGCAGCTGGCAGGGCATCCCAGCACAGCCATGGAGGTTTTTAATTGCTGATGTTGGCCTGGAAGAAACAAAATGTGCAGGCAATGAAGCAGGAATCCTGTAGACTGTTACCCTGCCTACTGTGCTCCCAGAGACAGGAGAGGGGCTCAGTGGATCTACTTGTCAGGTCCAGAAGGCTAGCCTCCCAGTAACATGCTCAGGGCACTGGACCAAGCACTCAGTGGTCTCAAGGATGCTGTCAGTTGGCTGCAGTGGAAGTTGCAGTTAGGGTCAGAGCTAGTTCCTCAATAGAATGATCATTTATAGGAGAGCTGCTGATGTCAATTAGTACCTACCCCTCTCTGCTGCCCTATGGTCCATCTCTCAGATCTACAGGAGCAGTTTTTCTGCCATACAACATCTGCAGCCTACTCCTGTGTCATGCCATGCTATATTGTGTGTCCCCAGCATGTCTCTGGCTCCAGGGAGGAATGAGCTTGCTCCCTCCAGCCAAGCAGCATCTTTTGTGTTTGATGCCCATGGGGCACCCTGCTGGAATATTCTCAGTTTGAAAGGATTCTGGGAAGGGGTTGCATTTTAATCCATGCAGTGAAGTCCAACACTTATCTTCTGCAATGTGACAGGTGTGTGCAGAGGCCAGAGATGTTCTGGGAACAGCTGTTTCCACTGCTTTTCCCCATTGCCTCTGGAGCTCCTGGGTCCCTGAATTTTAAGCTGACCCCCCTTCACCATATCAGGGCCCTGGGTGGAGCTGACTCTCAACAGTATCCACAGGGTCTTGGTACTTCCTCTTTGGTACAGGGCTATTGATGCTTTTGAAGCCAAAGCTACACTTAGTAGGGTCCTCAGGGTGCTCAAGCATCTTTTCCATACAGCCCTCAGCAAAGGTGCCAGCATCTGTTACTGGGATGGTGAAGTCTAGTGACAGTGTCGACATGGGCCAAGCTGGACTTAGAAAGGCTCATTCTGACACTAGACACTTGGATTTCCAACCCCATGCCTGGTGCTCATCCTGGGGACCTCACACCACCTTGATCCTAGCCTTTCCCCATCACCTACTCCATGCCAGAATCCTATGAATATTGAGCTCCCCAGAAATGAGACTTCAGGGCCTAGAGCAGACTTTGGCAAAGACTCACTCAGGAGACTACAGGCTATTTTGTTTCTGTGTTCATTCTCCTAAGCTCCACTTCTCAGATCCAGTGAGGCTTTCTGCCCATCCATGTCTGCAGTTGCAACTTTATTACCAGAGCCCTGTTTCTGGAATGAGCAGTAAAGCAAATGGCAATTTAGAATAAAAATGTAACAAAATAGTTCCTACAGCCCAAACCTCTTCTGCCATGATTGAAGGTTAGATACCTGTCAGTGTCTGAGGCAAATTAAACACACTACTAAATGGCTTTCTGCTGTCTGGCTTGCATTTGTTCCCTTGAATGTGGTGAGGAAGGTTTCCGTTAGATCCCTGTAGGCCACACACTGTGGTTTGGGCTGTTTGTTATGCAGCACTGTGGCTGACACAGTGACAGTACAGCTCCCTCTATGGGCAGAATCCAGCCCATAGACCTCTGGGTTCCCACCTCTGGTCTGGGGCTTTCCAAGAATTCTTCCAGTTCAGAACACAGCTCACAGTCTTGTTCCACTACTGGGCCCTATGCTAGACCATTTACTTCCATTCTACCTTGAAGTCACAGCTGCTGCTGGTCCTCAAGGCCTCATTTCCCTGGGGTGCAGGGGGAGCTGAGGGTACAGTAGCCAAGAGAACAGCCGCTTGTGAGCCACAGCTTCAGTGCAGCCAGCAAATGGCATGACATCTGCTCATCGACGCACCTGCCGCTCTCGGACGGGTTTTGGCCAGTGGACAGTCACGGGGTGTGGGGAGACCAGCCTAACTGACCACTCTTCTAGGAGAAGGCAACAGATGTGGAACCTGCTCCCCTTCTACAACAGACTTCAAGACATGAAAAATTGGGGTAAATGAAGGGTACACGATTATATTCAGTCCAAGTTGTGTTCTTGGGGAGCCAGAGACAGCTGCGACTGCATGTTAGGGACAATAGCCCTGAGACAGTGGGGACTGCTGGGCTGGGGTGCCTGGGGACAGCTGGACGAGGTGCTGACAGGGGCCTCATTCCTCTGTGAAGCCGTTCTGCAGCTGCTGGGAGAGCTGCCAGCTAGTGGGCAGTGTGCCCTGTCCCCATAC